CCTCCTCTACATTGGATTTTTTTTTTTTTTTTTTTATTAAGTTAAAGTTATTATTTTTTTATGTAAGCAAGTGTGTTTTTTTTTAAGCTAACCTTTGACCAGTCTGATTAAAACCATATCTTGTTCTACAATTACACTAACACTCTGCTACGGAACGGAGCGTAGATCAAGGTATATGGTTTTAATTAGATTGACCTTCGACATCTAACATTTTAAGAAGTACATTTCCCCTGAAATTTGAATGGTCAGAACACATGTGAAATAGACATTTCCAGAGTCAAAACTCAATTTAGGGGGTCTAAATATACTTTCCAATATCAACTGATTTTTTTAGTGTATCTCGAAGAGCTCGAAGAGGAGAGATAGTGAATATAATTCATAAAGTCGTTAGCATATACATATTTTTTTAAAGTATTTGCCTGAAGGTTTATTAAAAAAAATCCAAATCTATTACATATTTTTTCGTAATACGTAATGCAGGGTCCTGTAGGTTTTGGAATCTAACTGTTTAGATCACTTTTGAAATATATTAATTTCTTCATATTCGTCTCTGGCTCGACTTCTTCTACTGGTTTTATGTCTCTCTGGTCACGTTAATCAGCCCGAGACTAGAGCGAATTTGACATCGTTTAGAGAGGAACAACAACTTTCAACAAACAAATATTTGTTTTTAAATGTATTATTATTGTATGGGAATTTGCATCCAATGTTAGTCTGACAAAACGATATCGATGTAATTTACAACATACCGATAGGCGGGAAAACCCCAAGGCAGCAAGTGATTAACGGGAGGTAACTCGTGTAGAATAAATTAAATAACTGCATGTTAGATTCGTTCCTGTGTCTTATGCATACTATATGGATGCTGGGTTCACAAACGCAACTAATGATAGACAGCTTAGTTATTAAAATGACGTAATTCATTTGTTTTTGACTTGTACATGTATATAGTGCAAATTCTATCACACATATGCTTTGTTTACGTTCGAGATGACCCGGAAGTACTTTATATTTCAGGATAAAAAATACCCTCGAACAAAAGTGAATAATAAAAAAGCAGCGCTTCTTTATAAAATCACTTTGCTTTGGTTGGTTATGCTTGTATTTCTCACTTTTGTAACTGAAATACTTCTTTAAATTTAAGTGTAATTTGTCGTTTAAAATATTAATAGGGTTTAATAATAATTTGGACGCCATTTTGAATGATAATGATTTCCTGTCTGTTCTGTGCTTGTCAAAACATTGGTCTCAACAGGCTCTCGCCCGAGCTACAGGTGGTTCTCGCGCTCGTAGAGATGCTGGAAATGGATAAATGGGTTACCAGAATGCTTTAATGTGTGTTAGTAGACCATAGGACGCCATGAGAGGCGAAATAACATCTCAAACCTCGGGTTGGCAATGTCAACATCGAGGCATGGCTCGGAGCAGACGTGAAATCTGACAAACCGGATAATTGTGATTCATGCATCGTCTAACGTTGGAATTTAGATGTCTTCCTACAGGTTTATTTTGCCATTCCAGTAAACATTCAATGGAACTGCTCTCAATCATGTGGAAAGTTTGAAAGACATTTAATTAAAACCTGAATACTATTGCTGTATCTTATTATCCGACTAGGATATCCGTTTCATCGTTTACTGAACACTTACTGAAGGAGTGTTATTGATTTTCGTTCTTGCTCAGGGTTGTTTTACCCACGCATGCTAGTGGTTGTATATGCTTGTTAGCATGATAATGCCACACATCAGCATAAAAACCTGGCATTCTGCCCCAGAATCTACACTCCAACCATAGACGGTCATTCCTTCATTGTGTCACACAATGTTATTATGAATAACTGACTATTCTGTTTGACTAAATACCTGTGAATTTATATTCATGTTCAGTTTTGAATGTTGGAACAAGCTGGTGCTGAGGGAAATTCTGTGAAAAAGAATCGTACATTGTAACAGCTCTATTACATCATCATCAACTTAATTAACAGTTTATTATGCAGAAACCAGATCCCATCGATTAGAATATCGACCAGCCACACCATTAACTGGAATTTATATCAATTCTTAAGGAATATTTCATGAGGAGCCTATTATTCCAATGCGAGGAATACCTGTGCTGGGATGTTAAGTATTTTATGAAGACTCGGGAGAAAATTTCAAACTTTATGGAGTCATGACTTAATCATAATTATTCCAAACATTTATCAACATTCCATCTTCAATTCAAGATTCATTCCCAGAGTAACGAGAAGGAATTTATAAATGATTTTGACGCTCTGAAAATATTTAAATATTCGTCTGTGCCATTCCAGTATTTTTTTCAAGTTATTTGATCTCGTTACAGGAAATCCATCCATTTGTTTATTTTAATTATCTATTTTACAACAGGTGCATTCCGTATTTTATTGCATTTTGCAATTTATAGGTCACAGTATTTTTGTCTCATTATTTGTTTTTTTGAAATCAGCAATATCGTCCGCATTGTTTTTTAATCACATTAGTCTCAAACTGAACTCAGTAAATACCATATATATACCGGTACCCTATAATTCTGCTCCGGATTATGAACAACTTCCAACATTTTCTGCAAATGACACCAAATAATATGCAAAGCAGTGCTTGAACTTCAATTTACCGCACCATATGCAAATGAAGACTATTACCACAAACTTGCGAGTGAATAGCAGTGTACAAGTTTTTGGATGATTGAGTTCAGCTTCATTTATGATAATTGAATATTTGATTATAAAACTTGCTGGAAACGTCACATTAAGGAAAAGCTTACATGTGGTTTTAAATACATTGTCCACTGTTACCAGAAAGCTGAACCGATAGAATTTTATAAAGTGGACCTAACCTAACATCGCTTCATCAGATTGCTTTCTGACCCCTTCAGAACACACTACAACACATTTGACATATATGGTATATGAACTTGTGTCGGTACTCTTTAGATGTGTATACCAGGTTTGTCACAGAACTTTTAATGATACGAGAACAGCGGTTAAAAGGAGACAAAAAGATGCGTTTTGTACATTTTGTAAAATTTGTGTGAAATTATTAAGGCCAGCAGATTAATAGTTTTAAACAAGGAAACGCGCCCAACCTTCACCGTGCCCTCGTTACCGTCACAACGGGAAGCTGGTAGTGGGGTTTAAAGTGTGATTTCCTGGACGGGCAGACTGGTGGTGTCTGTTACTTAAGTCTGTTTATATCTATACCAGTGTTCATGCAGTTGTTTTGAATATTTGACAGAAACTGTGGAAATTTAATATTTGCAGCCTCTTCGTGGAATTTAAAAAACTTCACAAGTGTTTTGCTTTCAAAAAGAAAAGGTGGTTGTTGTATTTGAAAACTTTTGGATTCATCAAACTTTCCAACGCCTGGTGACCTATATTCCATGGGATTGTGTTCGCTGATCCTAGGGATCATATTAAAGACTTAGTATTTGACCTTGACCTTCCGCCATGTCTCGGATGGCAGTGTCCAGCTCTCCGTCCCCGTCCGCGTCTCCCGCCAAATCTCCGGATGAGGAGGGGTCCCATTCCTGGATGGAGTGGAGAGTAAGTACAAACCCTGAGTTAACTGTAAACCTGTGTAAACCGACTACAGAGATATTTGGAAGAAAGCTGACATTAGGGGCTGGTTTTCAAAGCTGATAATTTGCCTAATGAATTGTTACCTGTGATAATGCAAGTTTTTAAAATGCGTTTTTTTTTTTAAATATCTACATTTTTTGAATTTGATGACAATGTGTCTAGATTCTACCAGTAAGTTCAAAGTAGCTTTTAATTTCAATATTTTTGATAATCTAATATGTACACAAGATTTGTGTTTACCTGTTCTTTATGAGCTACCAGGTAATTGGACTTTGAATACTTGGGTTCAGAGTCCAGACGTGTTCATGACATCCCATAATATCCATATATGACATCCCAAAATGTCCATATGACATCCCATATTATTACACCTCAAGTGAATTTCTAGCTACTTTATTGGTTAGGAGAAAATTGAACAAAAATCTCTCACACTCCGAAAAATACATTGGTTTTAAGGGCGCGGGTGATATTGCCATGAGACAGTGAAAAATATCACATGCGCGAGAAATGTGCCTTCACCGCTTCGTTTCCACACCGTGATGGTCACAAGAATGTTTGACAGCAACAGCCAATTTTATCAAGCGCCGGTGCAATAGCGATTGTAAACAGCAGACTATCAACAAACAAGATGTCATTATCGAGGTTTGCTGCTGTTTCTGAGCTACAAAGACTTTTGGTGTAATAAAATAGATATGACATTCATTAGCAAGTGACAGTGAATGTCATATTTATATAATGTCCATATGACATCCCATTATATCCATGACATCCCATAATATCCATATGACATCCCATAATGTCCATATGACATCCCATAATCAATGATAATGTCCATAAATATTATGTCCTGTAATATCCATGACTTCTGTTAATACTGTAGTCACATTTATCTATATGACTAGGTAGTAAATATTGTCTTCATGGATATCCGGCATGAATAAATTATTGTTATATCAGAATTATTATCCAAATCTAAATCTTAGATCGGAGTTCATACAGGCCCTTAAAACAAAGACTTTGCCTTGAAAACCTTTGAAATAGATGAAAAGACTCTTAAAGCCCTTAAATTTAACTGAAATGTCTTGAAAAGGTCAAAATGAGCCTTGAATTTGACTAAATGATCATCATTAAATTATGGTTGTATATAACTTTTTTGATGTGATGTCATAAAAAAAAGAAGAATATGCTGAGAGAACTTTAATTTCTTGATTTTTGGACTCTACTGTAATTTTACCGAAAAAGGACCTTGAAAGACCCAAATAAGCCTTGAATGGCATTGTAAAATTCCTGTAAAAACCCTTAATTCAGATGGACACCTGACATGGATAAAGGTCGTTTGCTAAAATTAGAAGATATCTGGAGAAGGAGTAATTTGTAGAACAACATACATAGCCATTATATTAAGTGGTACATTCATGTACATGTACACCAATTATAGACCAGGGCCTGGGACAAGGTGTCTGGTTCTAGTCCTATATCTGGAGTTACAATCAATTGTAGTTAATTTGTGTTAGATTTAGCCCAGGGCCTGGGACTAGGTGGCTGGTTCTAGTCCTACATCTGGAGTTACAATAAATTGTAGTTGATTTATGTTAGATTTAGACCAAGGCCTGGGACAAGGTGTCTGGTTCATAGTCCTATATCTGGGGTTACAATCAATTGTAGGTGATTTGTGTTAGATTTAGACCAGGGCCTGGGACTAGGTGTCTGATTCATAGTCCTATATTTGGAGTTACAATCAATTGTAGTTGATTTGTGTTAGATTTAGACCAGGGCCTGGGACTAGGTGTCTGGTTCATAGTCCTATATTTGGAGTTACAATCAATTGTAGTTGATTTGTGTTTGATTTAGACCAAGGCCTGGGACAAGGTATCTGGTTCTAGTCCTATATCTGGGGTTACAATCAATTGTAGTTGATTTGTGTTAGATTTAGACCAGGGCCTGGGACAAGGTGTCTGGTTCATAGTCCTATATCTGGAGTTACAATCAATTGTAGTTGATTTGTGTTAGATTTAGACCAAGAAGAGCTAGATATATCAGCATTGTAGAAAGTAGATTGTAAATGACAGACAGTCCATCATCCTAGGGGTCACTCCAACTGAGATCCCTATCAGTGGTCAGAGTGACATAGGAAGGCTGACCAATAAGTGAAGTTGTTATCTACAGTGCACATAGGGCACCTGCTAATCCTATCAAGTCACCACAGGGAATATGATCTGTCTAGTGTTAATTATATATGGGCCCTGTTAATTTCCTGTCAGTGTTGTTTTCAGAACTAATTTTTATGGTGTATGTTTCCTGCCCATATAGATATAGACTCATTGTGGCAAATTAACTATTAGATTATAAACATTTTCTAGACTTCCTTGCTTATAATTAGAGTACATATAAGCTAAGAAGCCCAATGGTATATATATATATATATATGTATTTCACAGTTTTTCACTCTTTTGCCTTCAAACTACTTTGTAGAACTTTACAAATGTGGGCAAATAAAAAAATTGAATTTGGGTTATTTTTATATATTCTTATAGGTTTTAATAATTATGGAACCAGTATTTTATTTATCTAAAATTTGTAGATTTTTTTCACGTTTCTTTCCCTGCTAATTTTGAAGATGCATTGAAATTACACATGTGTGGTGCAGGCGTACTCTTAGGTGTGAAAAAAGAAGCCCATTGAATGATACATTTATCTTGCATTGGGCACTGGTAACTTAAATGTGATTTTAGAAAGTTAAAAGGAAAATGAAGACAAGCAAATTAAATAAAATCGTAAATTTCAAAGTTGCTTTAAACATAATCTAGATCAACGGCCTTGGATTTCAAGTAAGTCGTTAATCTAAACCAAATGATTGATTCCTGGTGGCGATTTCTTGTCAAGCCAGTGTAATTATTTATCAGTGAACCCAGCAATTTGTTTTCCTCTCCACGATAAACGAAGTTGTATGGGATCAGACGCATTCCTCCGCGTTGTGGGTCCCATAAACGGGTACAACCTGCTGTGGGAAACAGTTTATTAGCCGTTTAAGCTTGTATGTGTTCACTGAAGCAGAAACAGTGTCAGGACTCCTATTAATATTCCTACCCATGTTAAGGGGGCTCCGTTCCCATCACAGTGATTCTTTTCCCGCCTGAATTTTAAAAACAGTCTAGGCCTTTATGAATTGGGAAAATACATAATTATTTTTAATGAATTTGGGAACATATTCCACATTTTTGAGGGGAGGGTGACAATGTTTTTTTGAGGGTTGACAATATTCACTGTCACCTGCTAATGAATGTCATATCTATTTTGTTACACCAAAAGTCTTTGTAGCTCAGAAACGGCAGCAAACCTCGATAATGACATCTTGTTTGTTGATAGTCTGCTGTTTACAATCGCTATTGCACCGGCGCTTGATAAAATTGGCTGTTGCTGTCAAACATTCTTGTGACCATCACGGTGTGGAAACGAAGCGGTGAAGGCACATTTCTCGCGAATGTGATATTTTTCACTGTCTCATGGCAATATCACCCGCGCCCTTAAAACCAATGTATTTTTCGGAGTGTGACAGAGATTTTTGTTTAATTTTCTCCCAACCAATAAAATAGCTAGAAATTCACTTGAGGTGTAATAATATGCTAGGGTAAGCTGTAACACTATGCAAAAAAATCATTGCATTGTGATTTTCTGAAGTTGTAGCTAAATATATAGTTTACATGTATGTTTGTTAGGTTTTGCTTTTAACAAATTGCCCTGTCGACCCACCTCAGGAACACCCTCCGCCACACACTTGTTCTGTCAACCCACCTGGGAACACCCTCCTCCACACACTTGCCCTGTCGACCCACCCCGGGAACACCCTCCTCCACACACTTGCCCTGTTGACCAACCCCAGGAACACCCTCCTCCACACACTTGCCCTCTCGACCCACCCCAGGAACACCTTCCTCCACACACTTGTTCTGTTCAATCATCTCTAGACACTGGCAAAGAATTATGTAATGGTAGCTGTCAGCCACCCCCACCCCTAGTCCAAGTCCCTACTCCTATACCACTTATTACAACACAACATTACTTAGCATATTTTGGCAGGGCTGATACAATGGCGAGTATTAATAAGTAACTTCCCTCTCATCTTTCCTTCACCTGTCATCGTCCCCACCAGTCATGATCCCCCCCTAGGCCTAACAACCTCCAAACCTGTTCCCCCCCTATCAAATATCTTACCAGATATATACCAGTGGGATGGGTGAGGGTAGTAAGCCCTCGTCCCCCTATCAGATATCTTGCCAGATATATACCAGTGGGATGGGTGAGGGTAGTAAGCCCCCGTCCTCCTATCAGATATCTTACCAGATATATACCAGTGGGATGGGTGAGGGTAGTAAGCCCTGTCCTCCTATCAGATATCTTATTAGATATATACCAGTGGGATGGGTGAGGGTAGTAAGCCCCCGTCCCCCTGCCCCATTGATTTCTCAAATAACATATATTGAGTGGGGATGATAAATGTAGATGACCTCCCCCCCCCCCTTTCATGTCTCCCTTTACCCCTAGCCTCTACCTGATGTATATAATGACCCCTGATTGAACTCTCACATATATGTAACATATGATGGTGGGTATGATAGATATCCTAGTGATGAAGTAATGGTGGCCGACTGTTAGTACTAGATGACACCCACTTTACCTATGCCATTGAGTCACCCTGCCATCCAATCATCCCACCCCAATAATCCCACCCCCAGCCTCTTACCTGGCTTACCCTCAGTTTCCCTGGAGACAAGTGATGGTGTAATGACCATTTACTATTAGCATATGATCCCCCTCCTCTCCATAAATTTTCCCTGATATATAGGGGGAAGGGGTAATGACACCTGGTCCACTTTTCACGTAACAAACATACATTGTATATGCATGTATAAACTATAATGAAGGAAATGATGTATACTAGTGATGAAGAAATGGCTGGTGAGTTA